TTAGCACAATAAAAAAATAATTAATTAAATATAATTCTAAAGAAATTTTGTAGTTGTGATGTGAGACTGGTCGTATCTTTGCGCTTTGTTAGTCCCTTCTAGTATAAAAATAAGTATCCCATAACCCTTTTGTTGCTATTTTTTAAATTTTGTTTGTAAATATTTTTGATTTAGAAATAACGTTTCTTCTAACCAGATAAAAAAATTTAAAGTTTTATAATTTACTGAAAAGTATGAAATTAATGTATTAATGAGATAGGTACAACATTAAATTCATACTTTTCGTTAAATTATAAAAGACTACTTACAGAGTGAGATTTTCTGTTACTCACTTCGTGAATATAATATTTAAAACTTTCCTAAAATGATTGGCCAAGAGTTTAACGAGTGATTTGTAAATTAATAGCGAGACCTCACCTCGTGTCTTGAAAATATTTATTTGTTTTTTTTTAACTTTAATAAAAAAAATATCGCTTGTTGTAAATAGTTAATACAAACAAACTGTTTACACACTAACACTGACTGTTTCACTAGGTATAGTTTGAATTAAAACAGTTGTTTTAATTGTTACCGAATCGTTTTATAAATTTAGCAAACACATCTCATAAATCTCTATTATCTGTAATATGTAATGGCAAATATAACATTTCAGTTAGTTAAAAAATCAAGAGACAGTCAAACAAATATCAACAATTGTGATCCTCCACAAAAGGTTGTTCACATAAAACTGTCATAAGGACTTCTACGTATCATAAATTTGCTCGGCACATTGGTTACAGTAGCAAACAAGTTTTCCCATTACTTCAACTGAGACTAGCTTCACCAGATTTTGTGAACATATCGAGACAGATATTGTTAGATGAATTTAATTTTCTTTTTTGCGATAAATGAATATCAAACTGATGTGGATATATGTAACGCTTAAGTTCACTTTATATTAGTATACTATATCCGTGTAAGAATATTCTACGAATTCTCAAAGTAGAACATTGTATTCATCATTTACCTAATCCTTTAATAATTTTCAAATTTGAAGTCAATAGTATACAATAGGTATTAACGATGTCGTCTTTCATGAGGGTTCATATATTTTTAGACGTATATAAATAACAAAGTTATTCATGTTATTTACACTGATATTCCCATAAAGTATTTAATTTTTTCTCAGGTTAGTGATTGATTGTAGGCTTGATAAACATCTCAGAATATCGACTAACGGTTGCATGCAATTTTAATTCGCGATTACTACGATTCCGAAAAATCTAAACGCCTAACAACGACCACAGTTTTCACAATAAGCCAATTTATTTTCATTGGATACAAAGAATAATAACTTAACCTGATTTGATTTAATTCTTGTCTGCCAAGAGGTAATACGAGTTTCATTAGTTAACGGCTAGATGGCGTTAGAAGTGAATATAGGTTTGTGATGCGCGTTGGAAAATACGAGAATTTATCGCGACGTGGGCTCATGATGGGTAGAGAATGATCTGTAGAGTCAAAGATCGAGACTACTACTTATAGTGTATGATTATGGCGATAGTGTAGCTCGTTAAGGATTGTTCTATTTATGTACGAGAAGAAAATGTGGCAATGGATTAAAAACCGTTTGGTTAGTAAATTTTCCGTAAAATACACGTTTAACAACATATATTTTTTAAACACTTATTTATATTTGGCTTCGATCACTTATTATATATATATATATACTTATTTCGTCTTTCTAACTATAAAAAATAATAAACTTCTATACAACTGTTGATCCTTTAATTTACTCCCTTAGGTATGCTACGCAAATCCCAAATAAAATTGGGATAAGGGTGGGCAGAGGATGAGGTATGAAATTCCTAAAAATAGTTGCTTAGGATCTCTTGCTTACAACATAAAAAGCACAAGCTGCTAATAATTTAAGTGAAATCGCTGTGATTTCGGCTTTGCGCTGATGAATCAGTCAGTCGGTCAAGACAAGTAATTTTATATAAGTACCATAGATGCATGAGTGTGCTTTATGTACCTACAGAAAAAGATTTTATTTGTAAACAGCTTTTCTTTTTTTTGTTACATTAATGTCTCCTGTTCCACTGACTAAAATTGTGCTCTCTATTAATGATGATATTGTTTTTAGAGGTAAGTTTCACTACTACAAATATTCGCACCTATTGGCTGTGTACTGTGGCTCTTATTTTGTACTGAGAGGCTGCCAGTGCCTAGCAGATTATTTTCAACATAATATAATATAAACACACATAGTAACCTAGTTGACTTAAGTTCGTAAAGCAAGAGGCGTTATCACACAGTACTGAAATTAAATTAAAACAGAAATGGCCACTTAACAAATTTAATATTCTATGTAAATACAATATGTTTCATAGGTATATTGCAAACTGGTTCCCACAGAGGAGGGGTCATTTATAAGCCGTAGATGGCCCGAGGTACTTCGGGTTACCAGGGCTTTCCTTTCTATGGTATACGTGGTTCCCCGGCTACTGGTACCTGGAGACGGCGTGCGGTTTTTGGTCGGTTCGAGTCCGACATAATCACCTTCTGGTGGGTGGTATCCGAGGGGAGTTCCGCACAGAAAAAAAAAACAAGGTATATTGCAAACTATTTGCACTAGACGAATAGCAATAACTTTTGTAGGATATTTGTTTTGGGTATTTTTAATGCTTCAATGTGATCTTATATGCAATATATTTTTGTTGTACTTTGGTTTTAAAGATTATTTTAATGATTGTAAACATATGAAAACCCGTCTTTGTAAAAATTGATTGGTAGCAAACCTGCTCAAGATAGCTAGGGCCAGTAGTCACCGTGTGTGAGTAAACATCGCACGTATTAGTTATAAGCGCGTGTAATATAAGATATTGCCTAATTCAATATAATGTTAGTTATACAAGGACGATTGTTGACAGGATTGTATCAAAAACGATAGCTAAATATCTTTAGTACCAGTAGTATTTTTGTGCAATTTGTGGCACAATAATTTAAGAAATGTTTAGTTTTATTCTATTAGATATATTTTCTATGTTTTAATTTCATTCCTTGATATAAACATTAAATTCTAACATGAATTTTGTTGGACATGTTTCTTTATAAAATGAATGTGATTTCTGGCTGAAAAGCAGTTTTCATAAAGGTTTTTTTTTTGTAGTATAGAGACGAGATCGAGACTAAATAAGCTTAGGGAATCCTATTTAAAATCAGGTTTATACCAAAATTTATATCAGCTGGGAATTTGGCAGTCTAGATGTATATTTGCATTATGATTTAAAGAAGGCTGTTCAAAAATATTTAGTTTTATTTTCCAATTTTGCGTCCGAAAAATGCCGGTTTATGACAATAAGCTCGTCTTTCTAACATTAGTAAGATCAAATTATATATAACCTCTCTGGGTATACCCTCATAGGAGTTTTTAAATCAATCAAATGTTCGAAAGTTACTTACTTGTTATTCTTTTAGTTCTTTTGATATGTTTATGTTTATTGTTACAGTCAATCCGACTTTCGCTTCAGATTTTTTGTTAAAGTAAGAATCATATTGAATAAGTTAATGTAGGAAGTTTTAAAATAATTATTATGGATTACTTAAGTTATAAGTTCCTATAACAGGATCATGTAGTTCATTAAATAGCTTTTGCGTGAAAGTGTCGGTTACGAAGTTTTTTTTGACTTGGAATCCAAGTTAGGACAAATAATTGTGTGATAAGTAATATGTATGTATGTATGTATGAAGAAATATATAAATATGTTTATAAGCAGTCTCGTTACCATAGTACAGGGTCTGCCTAGTTTGACATCCACGGTCGTGTCTGAGATGTCAAGTTATAAAAAAAATCCTGTCATATTAAGGTCTTGTGTATTTGGCAAAGTACTGCTGATTATGTTTTAACGTCTTCATACTTATTGTTATGTCTATTAATAACCAACGTAGGACTAGAAATATTAAACGTTACTAAAGTATTTCTCTAACCCCACTAACATCTTATAATCGTCAATGATATGTTTAATTGCTAAAGTTACTAACGCCACCATTTTTAGTTTTAGTACCCAAAGTAATATAGTGTGTCTAAACTTTAGTACCGTGGCACAAGTTGAAACATGGGGCTCAATTTCCTGGTGCTAAACTTTAGCAGAGAAACTTTTAATTTCCAAATGTTTGCAAATTGACTGAGTGTTTGAATCTATTGCCATTACATGCTCTTGAGTACCTCGGAGTTACAAAGAAAGGCCTTATAATAATGTCGAAAGTTTTTAGGTTTTAAAAGAATATATTGCTTTATAGCAATTATAGCTTCACTTATGTGAAGACTTGTAATCTGTAACGTTTTTAACTATTGTAGCTGTATGTCTTTCATGCTCTAACTAAATAATTAAATAAATAAATTATATTTTGTTTATACTTAGTGGCCTACACTAAGTATTGACTTAATGCAATGCATTTTGGCTACAAAATCATAAAAATTAAATGACGAACACAAATAAGGTGAAACAATAAATGAAACAAAAATAAATAAAGTTTAAAAATGTGTATTTCTTGTTTTCGTTTTTTCCATAAGTATAATAATAATTGATTTACGTATTTACAGTTTTATGTACAAAATCATAATATTTACAGACTAAAATGACAATGAATTTTTAACAAAACTAAAATAATAAATGCATCTGTACATAGCTTTAAGTTTTAAACTTTGGCATTATATAATATTTAAGCGATCCGAATATCTTATAGTCACTGAAATATTTTTAACATGTTAATATTTACATCGGATTTTCCGTTGTCTATAAATTATTATCGCAGTAATCAGGAAATAATTCCATTCTAACTTAGTATAAAACTAGCGGCCTCATTTTTACAAATTTCTTTTTAGGTATCGTAATCTTATTCTATACAATAAATATAGTGCGCAACAACCTAAAATTAATTATCACCATTTTATTGGACTAATACGCTTAAGCGTTGCAAGTAATTACAGTGTCTGTTTACCTGCGTTGGAGCATACGCTACGCCCAAAGCTGCGCTTGCGGCGGCATTCGGTGGGGGTGAGCGTCGCGCGTGTGCACGCCGGCTGGCAGGGCCAGCCCGTCACCGAGCAGTGGAGGGAGCTTGCCCGGCGGTGGCGGAGGGGGCGGCGCCGGCGCCCGCCCGGCCCCCATTGGAGACACTGAAGCGTAAATATTCACTGTCGACCGGTGATACTGACACTTCCTTAAGTCCGGCATCGCAAACCTCAATTTTTGCCAAAACTGTCTATCGCCCCATTCTATACACGTGTTCGCCTTCAAACACAGCCTGAGCTCCGGATCAATGTCTCTATTCGGTAGTTCACCTAGCACTATTATTATCAGTCTTCTTCGTCTCTCTTTTAGTACCTCGTGTAGTGCCGTCTTAAATTCAAATCGACACCATTCATTGTTGATAAAATTTTTAGATAGGACTATAATTGTCCGTTTGGACGACTCTACGGCCTCTATTATCGTATCCGCTACGTATGCCGAAGCGTTAAAATCTCGGTAATGGAGGCAAAGCCGGAAACTTGGGTCGGTAGATTCCAGGCCGGGCGCTAACATTTGAGCAACGAACGCCTCATCTTTGACGCTATAACTTATGTAAGCGTCGAAGAGTCGATCTTTGTCGGCCTCGTCGTCGAAAGAAGTACTTTTATAGCACATTCTAAAGCCACAATGGTAGTAAATCCAGACTCGAAGCTCACGTCGCCAATAAAATATACCGCATATTAATGCAGAACTAGTAATAAATACGCATAGAGATATAAGTAGTAGGGGAAGATAGTCATTAATTACTTGGTTTTCTATAATAGATGAGCTTCCACCTACATGGTTTGTGCATATCGTAGAGTTAAAGTCTGCCATTAGCGGTCCTACGGTATTCGTTTTATTGTTGAACACGCACGTAATCTTATTCGCATCTTCAACTTTTCCTAGGTTGTTTTTAAACCAATTTCGGAATTTATGCATATACTGACAGTCGCACGACCAAAGGTTCCGTGAAAGACTTATCTCTACCAAATATGGATTCATCGTGAATTGCCACACCGCGAAGCCGTAAATGTTATTTCCTTCCAAGCGTAGCACTTCTAAATGCCTCAACTCCAGGAAGGTTCGGTTATCGATGTAATGTATTTTATTGTCTTGTAAATGCAACTCGCGTAAATTGTCCAGGGGCGATAGTTCAAAACCTAGTAACTCTTTTATGTTATTTTTTTCTAAATGCAAAGTTGTTAAGCGTTTTAGTCCACTAAATGTATTATTATACAGAGCGTCAATGTTAGAATTATTAGCGTACAATATTTTTAAATTCTTACGTCCAATAAAAGAATGACTCGTTAAACCACCAAAATTATTACCGTCTAAATATAGTTCAGTAGCGTCCATAGGTATGCTGTTTGGTATTTCCGCATACCCAGCAGCCGAACAGTCCACTATATTGGCCGACCACGGTTGGTCGTGATAACACGTACAGTTTGATGGGCACGTCATTTCACAATCACAAGCGTCAAAATCACAACAATGACACAACGTAAAACAGTGCGTTTTATATGTACACAAAAACTGAGATGATTCTGCTTCGATAAGCGGAATATAAGTCCTTTCACGATTGTATAATAATTTACAATATATGCTTTCTAAATCCATAACACGAGGGTGTTGCCTTAGATGGTCTAGTTTGTTGATACGTTGGAGCCATTCCATAGTACAGTCGCATTGAAACGGGTTTCCGCCAATATAAAATTCGGGTAGCGGCCGCCCTGGGTCGACTGGAGTTAGACGAAGCGCATTGAGATCCATACTAGTTATCTGATTTGCATACAAATCGACTCTCGTTAAATTGGTTTTTCCAACAAAAGTTTGAGCTTCTACTTGTGTGATTTGATTATCATTCAGGAACAGCAATTCCACACTGCTGGGAATTGAGTATGCTGATATTTTAGTCATTTTGTTGAAACTTGCATCTAATGTTTGCAATCGTAGTTCTTTATCCAAACGGTAGTTGTTTCCCAATTCTTTTATATTGTTACTGTGAAGATCTAACCATTGAAGTCCCGATGGTATAACGGTATAGTCAAACCATTCTATTTGGTTATCTGAAACATTCAACCACAAGAGAGATGGAATATTTACAAACAAGCCTTGAATTTCAGTGAGTCGATTAGCATCCAATCTTATTGCTTGCAGGTTCGATAATCTTTCAAAAGCGTTCATGTTAATGTGTTTTAATTTATTGCGGGCAAGATTTAAAATTTGCAGAGACGGTAAATCTGAAAACACGTCTTTACTAATGTTTTCAATTTTATTTCCGATAAGGCGAAGGCCATATACGTTATGTAAACCCACGAAGCCGGGTTCCTCCAATGACGTTATCTGATTTTCTCCAAGATCAAGAGTCCTTAGTAATCGCATATTTTGAAGTGCTATGGGTACTTTTTTTAAACGATTGCCATTTAAATTCAAATCTTGCAAGGAAGATGTATTTCTAAATGCTTCAGGATGAAGTTCTTCTAGATGATTATTATCTATAGATAGTAAAGATAATACATAGAGTCCATTGAGAGCATAGGCATCGATATGAGATATCTTATTGTAAGATAGAATCAGAGTATGTAAATTATTCATTGGTGAAAATGTATCAGCAGCTATACTTTCCAACATGTTACGTTGAACATTCAAAATTTGTAAAGTGTATAGATCTTTAAAAATTTTTGACTCCAGCTTGGTTAATCTGTTGTTTGATAAGTTTAACAATACCATTCTTATAAGACCCGTAAATGTATTATCATTAATCCATGTACTTGTTAAATGATTGTTTGATAAATCCAATGCCAAAAGTTGATCTAAATTAGCAAAAAGGCTTGGTGAAAGCACACTTATAGAATTGTTTTGTAAATAGATTTCTTTGATGACTGGTCTACAATCTTTAAACAAATCTTGAGGCAGAGCCACAATTTTGTTATTAGAAAGATCAATTATTTGAAGCTGTTTAAGTCCAGATAATGCCTTATCAGCAACCATCGATAGTTCGTTGTCATGTATATGGAGCTCCTTTAGTCTGCGAAGCGCCATAAATCCGTTTTCTGGCATTAACACGAAGTGGTTACTAGAGGCGTCAAGAACTTCAATATCTAATGAACAAGTTGTGTGTGACATAGATGGTAAGGAGGGTGGTGGCCCATCTTGTTCATTTATAAGAGCTTGATGTATAGCTCTCTCTCTAAACCCTAAATCACTCACATCTTGAAGACGATTTGACGACACATTTAAGTACACTAAGTTAGTTAACGGGCAAAACAAGTTTTCGGGAAATGACCAAATGTTATTAAAACTGAGGTCTAACTTCTCCAACTGACGAACCGCCGTAAAGCTTTCTGATGCTATCTCTAAACTCATAGCAGCCCACTCTGTATTTTTTGTTCGAATCGTTAAATTTCGAAGATCTCTTAAGCCAGAGAGTACGCCAGGCGGCCATCTTCCAATTTTACAGTTATCTAAAACAAGTTCACGTAGCTTCACCAAATGCGCGAAACTTCGATCGTCTAGGGAGCTTTTATACATCATTTCTTCATTGCACTCTATCCTTAGGGATGTTGTGTGTTCTGACGGGATGACACTAAAGTTCGTTGTATCGAACTCGCTATTAATGGTGCGAAGTTTACAAGTTAGGGAAACTTCATGAGCATCGTTGGGTCCTCTTAACCACCACTGGCAATCATCAGGAGCTTCATATTTCAGTGGTAGAGAGCTCTGATCAGCTACGTTGAGCCCTATTACGAACCAAATCAGAATTTGAGAAAGACAATTTCTTGAAGAAGTTTTTTGAAAAGCCATTATAACGAAAATCATATATCAGGGAAGAAAGAAAACAGAACACGAATGGCTTTGTGTCATGTTTTTCCGTCGGCGTTTGCGTACTACATCCACTTGCCGAATGAGTAATATCCATCAATTAATGAACATTATTTCAGCATCAATATGGAATACAATCCTTGTCCACAATGCGCATTTTAAGTTTCAATGAAAAACGCTTCACTTTACAGGAAATTCTTGTATCGTTTCTTTTTCACACAAACTGTCCACATAAAAATTTAGCCGCAACGTTCTTTACTCATTGTATTTACGTTAATAACGTTCACTATATAATTGCACTGAATGTTAAGTCAGTAGATCAACGTTATATCGCGTTGATGACAAGCGTGTTTCACCGTAGCGTAATGCCGCTCAAAGCGTCGTGTGGCGCGACCGTGCCCCGACGCTGCTACCAGACGACTGAATGTTGTTGGAGGCATTGCAGTCGAGTCGAGTATACGTTTGGGAGAGGGGTGCGGAGCGGCTCGAGATGAGCCGAGCGGTGGCGAATGTTCACGAGACTTATTACAATAAATTATTTTTTTCGAAGCTTTGTGCGATCGACTCTACGTCCCACAAACCACTAACTTAGAATGAAACTGGGCTTTGACTATCGCAATGACAGAAACTTGATATATGTTTAAAATTTATTCATATATTTATATTTTACTAAAATGTAGAAGATTACAAGTCGTTCTCGAGCAACCTTTAAAAATTATACAACTTTTTGTAACAAAATTCCAGGCACTGTGAGAAATTTGTAGCGACCAACGAAACCATCTAAGTTTGGCGAATATATTGCATACTTTAAAGGATTTGATTCAAACCTTACTAAGACTTCTTCAGAGTTAATCATAAGCCATAAATTGAAACATGCATTTAAGATTTTGTAGTTTATAAAATGTGATTTAGATATGATTTGTTTTGGATGAGTATTAGTGACAGAATTAATAGTTATTTCGTTTATTTTATATGCTTATCACGGTATATGTATTTATCACTACCGCAACTATAAATATGAATTACAATTTCAACACGAGACTCCTAAATACTACTAAAGTTTGCGTTATAGAGATCATTCTATAACTTAACTGAAACGTCAGAATGATCTCCAACATTAATGTGCGCTGGCCTGGGGGTAACGAATGAGTTGCCCGTTGCATGGGTTACCCGAGCAGGCCTTAGTTGGACGGAATATTGGAATGAGGGCAAGGCTCTCTGCATACATTGGTGTCTAGTCAATGGCGGCCAAGGGACTCTTGTGATAACTTAAAACTCACATGTGATGGAATAGTGTGTGGTTTTAGTTGGTTCCATTTCAACACACCGCTTTACTGTTGACCTAGGTATTTTTTATAAAAATTGTTATATAATACAAAATAAAAAAACCGCTACAACATTTAGAATTTTAAATTTATGCTTAATTTTGACTTCGAACGTTCAGCAGTGTGTTTGTTACGCATTTAGTTAAATACTTCCATAAACATACTTTTAATTATAATCGATAACATAATCGACTTTCAGAGACTAACGATCTCAACTGATTTGAAACCCTTTCGCCTGTTATGTACACAGGTACAAAGCTTTAAATAGAAAATGCGTTAGTCGTTGTCTAATTCCATTATAAAATTAAGATTTCGAAAAGAACTTACCGCAATAGGAATAGCAACTAAAATTTGAACAAAATATTCTTAGAAGGATTTCAAAGTATTCGTAATAGGGATTAAAAGCAACCCTTTTATAAAATGCTAAAATTAAAAAGCAATGGCATAAAGGTATTAAAAGCTTAAGGTAACAAAATTCTTTAACAAAAGAGGTTTTCTGTTAACGCTTGGCAGACCACACTGGCTGTCAAACGACGGAAGATATCATTTTAATCCTTTTAGTTAAGTTGACTATGAAAAGACAGATGCCTTGCCGCCATCCGTGTTTTTCTTTTGTCATTTAGCTCACTCTTAATGGTTGACTTGAGATAAATTAATAGTATCTGATTATTTTTTGTTGAGATTGGGGATGGTACTAGTTTGTGTTTAAGATAGACCTTTGATACGTTTTTGTTTGGAAAGTTAAGAATATACTGATTAAATTTGATTAGATTTCTTGTTGTAGAATGAAGATACGAGAGATTATAATTAAATTCTCAAGACTAGTGATATATATATATAAATTGAGAATAGGGTATATTGTTAATACAAGTGTCGCATTCTATAATGAAAACAAACCTCAAACCTCCTTTCTAAGGGGAGGCCTATGTCCAGCAGCTTTTGATGATGATGATGATGATTATATAATGGAAACTGAGTAAAGTATTTAATTATAAATCTTTTGAAGTCAGAGTACATAAACTTTGCCATTAGTGTCTTTAACTTTTAAAGCAGTAATAATATTATTTAATGCATATGGTGTACCCTCATAATAGAGTAATTTACGATCACATTAAAACAATACCTTTGTCACTTTACGAGCCCTTATACAAATGTATAAAATATTAGTATGTTTGTGCGCCCACTGTCACAACATCTACATCATTCATTACGATCTGAGACAAAGGCTTATTCGTAGAAGCAATGATGTAATTACTGCTGTATTCTGTTCTAAAAAAACACATGTTAACGTTTCGTTATTTTACAAAACATCTATCAAGGAGACGCCGATGCGTGTTAAAGTTATTACGCCGAAGTGTTTCACATCACAATCTGTCAGCTGAAGCAATGAATAATGATCAATCGTTTTCGCTTATATTCGCCGTAGGGGTATCTTCTTACCCACGCTTAGGTATTTATGTTTTTTGATGAATGCGTGTATCGGTGTTACGATGAAAATTGTTTGTGCCGATCAATTTTATGAACGACCGAACGGTCTAGAGTATCTATTTTTCTTATAAATAGTTAGTCGATATTTTGTTTATCTGTGTCCGTGCTATGATTTCCTTTTGTATGGTTTGATTACCATTTCCTATAAAATTCAATAAATGTTTGTTATGGAATTGGATCATTTTTAATATAACAATTGAATATCCATTTAAATCTTCGTTCGTTATAAATTTAACTTTGTGGGAATAATCTTGGAACTGACTGATTTAACTCCTGATGTTACTCATATAAATATGTGAGGTTCAATTGTCAGGTCATAAACATTTTAAATGCTTTATGTTATGGGATGATAACCGAAAGAAAATATATTTGTTTATCAAGGGACTGTATTCAGATAAGATAAAGGTATAAGTTACGAGTATATCACATAACATTACAAGGATATATAAGAAATAATCTATTAGAATTATGCATACATTTGTTCTAGGAATATTTTATATTTTAAATTTGGAGTACGTAGTAGTTTTGCAATCGATTTTGGCACTGAATGACTATTTACTATACTAGTACTTCCGTAGCTAAAATCGGCACAGTAATCATATTAGATGTGTTTTAAAAATAGAACGTGAATGATTGAAAATGATTTGGGTATAAATAGTGCGAAGTGCAGTGATAATTAATATATGGATACTTTTCGTTTTTAAACGAGTTTACTTTAAATTACTCTATAGATGAGACAATGGCTAAAGGGATTTGTAAAATCCTTGCGACACATGTATCTATTATTTATGGTGCAAGAACTGTTTTAAAAAACGTTCCACATAAAGACTTTAACTATGGTGAGCAAACTGCTGATAAACATACAGGTACTTATAGAATTATCATTATCACACATCACATCAACAGCCTTTAGTAGTCCACTGCTGGACATAGCCCTCTCCTCAGAAAGGAGGTTTTGGCCTATTACTCGTATACCACGCTGGTCTATATCATCAGTTTGTATCAAGTTTTCCTTCTCTTTGCAGTGCTGTTATCCTGTGTAGTTTCCTCCCTTAGTCGGCTCTTACGACACCCACGGGATGAATACGGGTGACATGCCGTAGTGGTAGTATCCGTATTCTTAATCCGACACCACACGGACAATAGAATTAGGTATACCTATATTATATATATTTTTCTAGTATACAAACTACAGGCTAATCCTAATTGTTTCTGAATTATGGCAATTCTGTCTTTTAAGAAGATCTCTTTTTCGTCTACCATTAGGACACTAAATGTGAAAAAACTGTATTCTCAAATACTTACACACTGTATATCAACACGTTTGTTATCAGTTAAGTTTATCTATAACATAATAACACGAAAAAGTTATTATCAAAAGTTAATAAGTTATGAATGTATGGCAAAGAAACGAATGTACTTAACAATTCTTCGCATGTCCAATGCTCATAAATATCAGTCAAATATGTGTTTTTTGATCGGTGTTCCTTATCATACTGCCATATTGAAAAACCGAATCTCAAGGGCCTTGTTAAAGCACTCGAAACGTCAAAGTGTGTGTTTCAAACTTTCATCGCTTGTTACAAAAATATGGCAAGTAAAAATCTACAGGAAATGTTTATTTACCGTTAAATATGTACAGACGTAAAACAAAATGTGTAAAATATTCACCCCGTGTGTTTAGCACTAAGATACGGTACAAATACGATAACGCGCGTATCCTTGTTAGCATAGAAATTGCGTTTGAGTTACGTGTTCGTATATTTATGAGTATTTATGTTATAATAGTTGATGTAATCTATTTGAAACTTATTTCGTGTTAGGTAGTCTGAAACTTGGTTTATTACACGTTATCTTAGGCTAAGTTTACCATTTATTTGGCTTCAGTACTCGTAATATTTATGCAGAAACGAATTTAACGATTAGCATTTGTTACATTTCTACATTTATGTTTTTATAAGAATTTATATTATGCTATAGATGGGAATAAATAAAAATACAATTTGTTGAATTACTGTCATAGAAAAAGATAGGTTGTTGCTGTGCAGGGGTATTTTTAAACTATTGTTGACCCGGCATAAAACCAGGAAACTGTTTTGTAAAATGTATAAAATCAAACAAAATTTAATCCCAATTCGATTTGGATTTTAATAAATTCACGCTCTTCGC